GCAAATTAACCGATATGTAGATTAGGAAGAAATTAAGTAATTCATTTTAGAATTAATTTGCTCAGTTGATTGTAAAATCTCAGGAGCAGAAGGTAATTTTATTTTTTAATATCTATTTGGACAACCTAGACATCAATAGTTTATGAGCTACCATCATTAGTGCCAGAATTTCACATCATCTTTTGCCTCCTAAATACTCTCTAATATCAAGTGACCGCTGAACATTTCTAGCAACTTAGTTTTGTAGTCAATAACTATGTGCAGTTTTCCTATTGCAAATGTAGGAGTTGTCAAGTCCCAAAATACATCTTTATATGTCATTGCCTGCCTCTCATTCTTTGTTACCCTGTATAGCCATGCAAATCCTGCAGCTTAGGATGTACCCTGGTAAGCAATCTTGCAATACTAAAGACCTTCTTAACTGCTTTTATAAGTAATACCTTTTAAAGTAATAATTGGTTTCTGAAAATACTGTAATGTTATATTGCTGCCACTAACGACAAAATACATCACAGTAGCAATAATTTTAAAAGAGAAGAAAGCGATGTGAGTACATTCAGTGGGAATGAGTTCAGTGTTTCTTACAACTGCAGAGATGCGGTTTGTTCTCACGTCCGTTACAGCAAATTCATCTGATGCCCACTTCAGCATCTGTGTGGTCAGGCGTGCAGGCTGCTGCTGCTGCCATGGGCTTTCTGAGAGTCTAATCCCTGCTTCCCCGCTGTCCCCAGCCAGCCCTTACCCATTCACTGGCCTTCTGGTGACAGAGTTAGAACGCCAATACTGAGCATCACTGGTTTTGCTCTCATTTGGTTTTTTTCCAAGATTTATTTCAGTTCAGGGTTCCTGTGGAGGGCTATAGGAGCTAGGAAAGTAGGACATAGACTCAGTTCTGTCTTCTTCACTCATGGTGCTCTTCAGAGTTAGGTGCTTGGTAACATACACGCAGTGGCACGTGATAAAAGGCAGTGTGCTCTATCTGAATTATTTCAAACGCCATTCCTTTTGATACAGAGATATCTTAGCAATTCACCTTCCAAAAAAATCCTATATGATGTCATAAAGGTGATCTAATTGAGAAGAGAAAATGCTTTTCTTTGAAGTTCAGCATGTTGTGATTTGCACGCCTTGAATTCTGACATACCCAGCCCGTACCTGTTGAATCAGGGTGAATCCTAACGCTGATGAGGTAAGGCAGAGGTGCACCAAGACTGTTTAGGAACCACAGTCGTCATTTGCCCTGGGCATCCCAAGACTTGTACTATAGAGGAAGTACATTAAATATTGTTTATTGTGTATGAAGCTTTATTGAATTGATCTAAGACAGTCAGGCACGTATAGGGCAGCGCTGAGGACTCTCTCTGGGTCAGTAACCAAGCTGCTATGGAGGGGGTTCAGTTTCAGGCAAATGGCACAAGTCTGCACATGTTAATTTTTAGTTTCTATTTAGGGACACAGTAAATATTCTATAATGATATGTTTACAGAATTAGTTTTCTAATTCTGTTTACAGAACTAGTTGATTGTAGAGTAATAATAACAAGAATAACCTGTTATCCAGACAGAACGTAGGGGCTGTTTGCTGGACTATGGGTTTATGATAGGTGGACTTACTGAGGTTGCGAGTACTACACATATATCTGTACACATATATATATGAATATATACAGTGTAAAATAATTGTGATAGTTTTATTAAGTCCTTAGAAGAACTCTGGGTGTATGTGAGCATTCCGTTAGACTCTTTAATTCCTTTTAAAAGACTTCAGAGAGCAATAAAGGATTTTTAGCTGGAAATTTAGACTGTATGGGAGTGAAATCATTACTGGGAAGATCAGCTCCTCATCCTATGTTGATAACATAACCATATTTTAATGTAACTTGCTGACAAGGTGGAGATTGTTCCATATTAAATTCTTGATTATTTTGAAAACAGGACAAAATTAATGTTGTTAAGTGTTCGTGAGCCATGTAGATGATTAAATAATGAGATAATTTCTAAAAGCTGTTTAACCTTTACAATATTCGCTTTTTTCAGTCTATTGGAAATGCCAAAACTACAAGGAACGACAACAGCAGTCGCTTTGGGAAATACATTGAAATTGGTTTTGACAAGAGGTATCGAATCATCGGTGCTAACATGAGAACTTATCTCTTGGAAAAATCAAGAGTGGTGTTTCAGGTAATACTGATGCAATCTTTTTATTGTATATTTGTGTGACTATGGTAAAAGAAAAAAAGAAATTATTCCTTGCCAAACACGTAGGGAGGGAAGACAAAAGGGAAACTAAGTCAGCCCTTCATTACATGAATTATTCGTAGCTGTAAAATGTGTGTTGAAGTGGCTGTGTATTTGAACGTGGAACACTTCCAGTGTGCTACTGGCTATGAGTTTGTGCTACCGTGGTACTGTAAAATAGGGTTCAAAGCCTAGCAGAAACCACTCATGCGCAAGAAGAGCTCTCTGTTGTGGTTTGTGAAGCTGCCATCTTAGCTCACTTTCAGTCTCTTGTTAAAATCCTCTGCTACCACAATCATTACAAATGAGTCTTAATTGCCATTATTTAGGCAAATGAGAATATGTCATTTCTTCTTGCTTGAACTCTGTTCATTTTGATGTTTCATACTTGCACTGATCCACAGCCTTTTTGTCTCCCACACGTCCTTTCCATCTTTGCCTACTTCATAGCTTAGAGCTCAGTAAAAGTGGACTTATCCTCGACTGGCTGCCTAAAGGTATAAGACAAATACTTACAACATCTAGAGTGCTTAAGTTCAGAATTAAGGTGTTGGTCATGAGCCACATCCTTCTGAGCTGTGTTATTTTAAACACAGCTTTAATTTCAAACTCCAGCTTTGCCTTATCAAGAAGGAGGCTCCCTTCACCAACTTACTATAAATGCTGAGGCGAATGGCTTTGAGTTATTTTTGGAAAATTAAAAGCTTTTAAGTATGATCACTTCACCCACCCACAGAATCCTAACCTATATTTAATAGCAATCCACAGTTCTGAAAAGTGAAATCATACATTTTATTTTTTTGAAATGAAAAGGTCTGCGTGTTTCTTGCTATTGAAAATGGATTTAATTAATCAAGAAAGAAATGAAAGATGCTGATTTGTCTTTCCTTTTTCCAGGTGGCTTCTATGCTCTTAATGTAATGCTAAAGAAAGCACTAAGCACAGTAATTTTTTCCTATGCGTGGATGTTTCTGGCACTTGTTAAGTTGTGAAAAATAATAAATTCCTTTCTTTTTAAAGGCAGAAGAGGAGAGAAATTACCACATCTTTTACCAACTTTGTGCCTCTGCAGCGTTACCTGAGCTTAAAACTCTACGATTAGGTATGAAGTTCACATTCATTGTGCTGTGCAATCGTAGGTATAAAGCAGCATCTCTGAGCATTTTGGGCCATAAAACCAGAAGAAAAATTGCTGGCTTTTAAATTCTAAGTTTTTAAGCCATCCAGTGGCAAGGGTGAAATTCTCTCAGTCCTTTAAAACCTTTTTTCCATGGCTCCAGCTGACAGACAATTTTACCATAAGCACCTGAGAAGCACATTTTGCGTGTACATGTTGTCACTTGGGCTCCTTCACCATTTCTGCTAACCTGGGGATCACGAAACAAATCATTGAGAGTTTTCATATTTCAAATTGAAATGTTGATAAAGCAAAGGTTTCTCATTTAACAGGAGCTGGTGTTTTGTAAAAGAAAAGGTATGGTGGTAACCTTGTGACAATCACCTCATAATTTAAAAACTTCAATATAAATTTCAATGCTTCTGATGTATTTTTTAAAGTTATCTTCATAGTGGGAACGCTGCACAGCCTGTCAGTGCTGATTTCTGAAATACCGTTCTGGTTTTAAAGTGCTTCTCTGCTCTTCTGCACCGTCCTGGCACATTTAGGATTCGCATCTGCTGACACAGGAAAGGAAGGAACTGATGTAATTATAAGTAAAGAAGCCTTTTAGCAGACTCCTCTTTCAGCGTTCTGGAAACCTTAGAGGATCAGAAGCAAAGGAGTCTGTAACTGCAGCTTGAAAGCATGGCTGCTGAAACCGTAGGAATTTACGCAGTGCCCCGGAGAGCTGCTGCTCTCCCCATGAAGCTCAGTGCTGTCCTCAGAGGGGTACGAAGCGATCAGGTCTCCAAACACAACTTCTCAGCCAGAACGGATCGCAGATCACAGAATCACAGAATATCAGGAGTTGGAAGGGCCCTGGAAAGCTCCCCCAGTGCAACCCCTGCCAGAGCAGGATCACCAGAGCAGTCACACAGGAACACGGCCAGGGCTTTGGGTGTCTGCACACAAGGAGACTCCACAACCTCTCTGGGCAGCCTGGGCCATGCTCCAGAACCCTCACACTCACAAAGTTTCTCCTCATCTTCAGCTTGACCGTCCTGTGCTCCAGCTTGGGACCATTGCCCCTTGTCCTGGCATTGGCCATCCCAGAGCAGAGCCTGGCTCCTTCCTCCTGACACTGCCCTTTCCCAATGGATCCCCAGGAATGAGGGCACCCCTCAGTCTCCTCTGCTCCAAGCTCCAGAGCCCCAGCTCCCTCAGCCGCTCCTCAGCAGGAGATGCTCCACTCCCTCCATCACTTTGTGGCCCTGCTGGACTCTTTCAAGCAGTTCCTGTCCTTCTGGAGCTGAGGACCCAGCACTGGACACAAGATTGCAGCTGTGGTGTGAGCAGGGCAGAGCAGAGGGGCAGGAGAACCTCATAAGACCAAACTAGAGCATAAATTAGAAATGAAAAGAAAATGGGCAAAATAGATTTTTTTTTTAAATAACCTGATGCACTAATAGCATAATAATATCTATCACATAATTCCAAAACGCTGCTGCTGTCAGCTCTGCAGTTGGGTGGCTGGCTCCGACCTGGACAATAATTGCTTCCAAAGTGGTTGTACCAAGGTTAGGTAGCGAATAGGCTTGAGGGCCTCTTGTAGGAATCAAGAGGCTTAAGGATGCTTATTTGCACTGTTAAATCTTGAAAACAATTTTCTCCAGAAAAAGTGGGTCCTATGAGCCAGAAGGCAAAAATATACTGACATCTTTCAAATCATGGGTTCTGCCAAGAGTGACTTAATCCTTGCAGAGCTTTACAGGTTTGCTGTGATTTTCTGCATCAGTGCATGTAAAAGATTTGTTTTTTCTCTTACAGGGAATGCAAATTACTTTCACTACACGAAGCAAGGCGGAAGCCCTGTGATTGATGGTGTTGATGATGCCAAGGAAATGGTGAACACCAGGCAGGCCTGCACTTTGCTAGGTAATTCCTAAACCACAGTCATGGCCCAAATCCGATATACTAGCAAGTGTTTTCTACATTGTTTGTATATATATTAGTTATACCCTGTTGTGTTTACAAGCAGGAGAGTTTGATGGTCTTCAGGACTGAGATACTTTTACTGCATCGAGAAGATAGTTAAATTGCAGTGGAATCACATATCTAGTATAGGAGGAGCAATCACTGTATGAACATAAATGGTGGGCTCCCAGTGGAGGTCACAGAATC